GGGGGGCGCGAATCTACAATCAATCCGGAATAACTACACTTCCCTGTATAAAATAGAACAGTTAAATCAAGGTCCTGCTAATCAGACTGATATTCTGCCATTTAAAGTGGTGGGGTTTTGTCTTGGTTTGTGTGTGTTTGGTGGCTTTTTTAATACAGGACTCTGCCTTCAATCAGGACAATTTTATGCTTCAAACGAAATGCAGCCATTTTCAAAGCTAACAGCTGGTTTTCCTTTAAGAAGAAAAATAATCTACAACTTTCCAATGACACCTGTCCTCATCAATAACTGAGCATTTTTTTCCCCTTATAACTAAACACACTTGATTTCCAGAGTTTTGAACAGGGGCACCTGCTCTGCTAAGATGGAGGCGCTGGACCTATTTTTCCCTTGGGTAGCACCAGGGAACGGGAACTGAAGGAACAAGAGCTCTGCCACGTTTGGTACCTCACATCTAACCCGGTCCCTTCTGCTGTTGGACAGTTCAGACAGCAGTGCCCTGTGCAAAACGGGCAAGAAAATGTCACCCACCTGACAGTTCTTCCCAGTATAACCCAAAGGACATATACATCGGTATGTGCCTAGGCTGTCCACGCAGGAGCCTTTGTTCAAGCAAGGGTGTGAATCGCACTCATTAATTTCCGTGAGGCAGAAGGGTCCTGTAAAGCCCACTGGACACTGGCAAGTAAAGGAATTGATCCCATCCACACAAGTACCTCCATTGAAACAGGAGCTGCAAGAGAGTGAGAACAAAGGTAAGCTGAGACAAAATTCAATTAGCTCACAGCCAAAACAGCATGTAAACATTACTGAAATGAGAGAGAAAACCAGATTACAGGATCTTCTGACCACTGGTAAGTTCCTGCTAAAGAAGCATAAACCAGATAACAGCAATTCAAGGGGGACTCCAGCTCACACTCCAGCTCACTGTCTTTTACCTTGGCAGGCAAAGAAAGTAAAGCAGGGTTTCAATGAGTCATTAGTGATGGTAGTAACTTATTTAATGAAATCTTCCCAGCTTCAATGTGACCACAAACAGTACTGTACCAGGTAGGCATGTGGCTTGCTCAAACTGACAAATTTTATACAAGTTTTATTACAAATTACAATTGTATTACAAATTGTGAGAAACAAAACAATTTGCCTTTTTTTTAAAGCTTCAAAGGAGTCACAGGTATGTTTTCTCACGGAAAAAGTTCGTTTAACATGCAAAACACAAGCATGTTCTTCATTGAAATTATGTGAAAGTATTGGTATTGCTAAATCCCTTCCTCCTCTTCTCATGAGAACCTTAAGTCCTTGATTTGTAAAACTACTTATACATGCCCTGGCAGAATTCAGATCAAAGGAATTCTCCCCCTCCCCCCAATCTTCCAATCATAAGAAATTCTGCCAGATTAGGTGTCCTATGGAGAAGTGACTGGGAAAGTTAGGAGAAGTGATGCCTCATGCAAAATTGACTCCTTTTTCCTTCTAAAGAAACGCCTGCCAGGAAACTCCTGTTCCTCTGAAAGTAACTCTAGATCAGACTCAAGATAATCAGTTTGATAAAGTACACAAAACGAATTCATGCTTGTTATCTGTTTTGTGCACTGTGAAAGGGTACTTCCATGAGAGAAGCCACTGACTCGCCTCCTTGAACTTCCAGTGCAAGTTTTAAGTATCTAAATTCTGACTGTGATTTCGGTAGAGATGTCAACATTAACCTATTTATCAGAGATGTTCCTCTGCCTTGTGGGCTGAATTCTGTTTTACAGGGAGCAGAAACTGCTGTTTACATTCATGGCAAAACAAGGAAGAGAAGACAGAGGAACTGTCAATCACTTGGTGTGTTTCACTGAAATCAGGTACCCATCTCCAAAAGAAGATTGCACTCTCTCATAGGCGGCGTCTCACACAAGACACGGAAGAATTATTTGAACCGAATTCAAATTAGCCAACCATCATGGCGCTCTTAAGTATAGCTCAGTAAATTTTGATTGAGAAGGTGTGACTGGTTTAGCTTGGCAGAGCGTTGAAAATTGCTGCATCCTTCATTCATACCTGCAAGACTGGTTTCTGTCCTGACTGATAACAAAAACAGGATAAACCTCAAGGAAGAACCAGGCGTTCTGCTAAAACACCCAACATACTTCACTTGATTAAACAACTGTTGTGCAAATTAAACACACCCTCATAAGTGACACAATCCCGTTCTTAAGCAAAAGATGTTAAAATACTTCCTCCCCCACAAATGCAATTTTATAAAAGATAAGAAAGATCTTTTCTTTGTGTGCAGAAAACACATGAGAATACCAAGAGCTCTGCATTTAGGCACCTTATTTGTTTCTGGCAACTAGACTAGAACAGACTATTTTTTTTTTTTTTTAACCATTTCAAGCTTTATTAGAAATTGTTTCCATTTGAGAATCTGAAGTTACTTACATCAACGCTAACAAAGCTTAAAATAAACATGCAGGTAGATGATGGATACACAGGGTTAACTCTCAAAGAGCCTTTAAAACTACCAAGTGAACCATTTATATAAGGACCAGCTGTGGAGCATTTTAACTCAGTTCCACATGTCCCCCTTAGAATGACCTCAGGTTTTATCTCAACACTGCTAAACCACATCCAATTTGTGAGCATTAAAAGATCTCCAATGATTAAACCTTTCCAGTACAGAATTTGTGGATTCAGTGTTCCTCCTGGTTGCTTCTTCATATTCTTTGCAATCAATAACTTAACTCAGGGCTAATTTCATTTTCCTGCCTTTCTGAGAGTTGGCCATCGCTTCCATTTTTGCAGCTTTTGTATTTCTCAGCACAGTAACAGTTCATAACCAATCAATTATTTCCCCTCCCCTATATGATAATGTCTTATAAAAATACAAACTATTTGTGTTTTAATATGCTAGCATCTGTTACTGTCTTAACATTTGTAAAACACTGTCATAATTCTTCCTATAATGGAACTAAGCTTCTAACTAGTCATGCAAACTGAAGACCAACTTTGACAGGAAACTGTCTTTCAGCTGGTATCCTGCACAAGGTAAGCAAGTTTTCCTTGCATGAATCACAACTATGTCTCAGTGACAAAAGGCAGGAAAAGAGATCTTCACCGTCAAAAACTGCTTCTGAGTAGGGCTGACATCAAGCCATGAGCACACATTGTGTGGCTCCTTAGTGCAGCAGCACAGTGAAGTTATCTCACCTCTCAGTGCATTCATCGATGTTGTTTTCGCAGTTGGTTCCCTCAAACCCAGGCTGACACTTGCACGTGTAGCTGTTGACATAGTGGGTGCACGTGCCTCCATTCCTGCATGGTTCACTTAGACATTCATTGGTATCTGTCTGACATTTATCTCCATGAAATCCAGGTAGGCAGATGCATGAGAAAGAGTTTATCCCATCCACACATGAAGCACCATTTTGGCAGGGATCTAAGATAGAAGCATTACAGTAAGTGTTAAAATGGGTAACAGTCAAAGGCCAGGCCTAGAGTAATATCACACAGCCCAGAGTGTGACAGACTACTGACAAGTTTTTCTGAGCCACTTTACGGAACAAATAATTGCAAAGCATTATCAATAACAAATTCACAAGAAGGTGTGGATCAAGACCAAGCTTCAGGGCCTAAAGGTTTCTCTGCTCGGATTTGTTCAGCCAAAACCAGCAAAACCAGACCCAAAGTCTCTTGATTTAAAATTCACACTCTGCTTTTTTGATAAATGCCTACTGAGAAAGACAATACAAACAGCACAGCAACTGTTTCTTCTTATCAAGTCTTATTCATAAGAGAACTCTTTTCCAGACACTGCTCAACACATGAAAGAACTTGTGTGCTTCATTTTAAGCATGGAAGTAGTCCAGTCAAATCAAATGTGTATGTGTAAATCAGTATATATATGAGCACTTATGCGCTACTGAGCACTTCGCATTTTTCCCAGTATTAAAGGCTGACTGGGACAGGCTGGCAGAAAAGCTCACAAATTCGTACACAACCTTGGATTCTCCTCACCTCTGCATTTCTTGACATTTGCTTTATCCCTACCATGATCTTGCTACTTGTCTATCACCATTTTTTGGTCTAAGCCACCCCCTACTACTGTATTCCCTCTACTTCCACAAGTACCAATCTGCCTGAAAGAGCTCTACCATTCAGTAGTTTCTTCCTGCTTTGCTCCTTCCACTTTTGGATTTAAGACTCACATTCCTCTGTTGGATACTGCCTCTGAAGCCAGTTTCCTTTTCTACTCTGCATTCCCTAGACCAAAAGCCTGTGTATATGAAGGCAGGGAGGGAAACTGGGAGGAGGGAGGAAAAGGGGGGACAGGAAGGGGAGTGAAAAAAAGGTTACAGAACAGTTTTTTTTTTTGATCTATGACTATCTTTAAGTACTACTAAAAAACAAACTTTAAATGCAAATAGACTCCACCAAAAATTTGCAGTTCAACATAAGTACAGGATCATTCTGTTCACTGGTAAACAAAGAAAACAGACGTGAAAGGTAATTAAAGCTCACTTATTGACGGAGAAATATGCTCACATGATAAAAAATTGTGTTATAAGAGACACACCTGCATCCATTTAAAGGTCATCTGACTACTGCAGAGAAAAAGCACATTCAAAGTGAGACCCCTGGCAGCTATAAAATGTTGTGTCTATGGCAGCCAGCCATTTATGACTGAAGCCAAATGCTGCGCATTAATTTTCTGTGCCACACATTTACTGACAGAAAAAGGAGACTCAAGTATCAACTTTTCAGTAAGTTCTTGTTATTGGAGGGTTTGTTTGCTTCATAGATTAAAGACATTTGGCTCAAGTCATGGAAGGTTTTTGTTATGCTAAATGAAATCAGCTGCAGCAGTAATTTGAAATTCTTCTTCAACCTCATGGCTGTGCTGCCTAACAGAAAACACGGGACAAATCTCATAGCTCTCAGAACACTTAGGAATAGAGAGAGATTTCCCAGCTGCTCAAGAGAGAAAGATGAACACTTTAAAAACGTTTTTATCTTCAGACACCCACGTAAAAACGAATAGGACAAGCAATAATTTTGTTGGCAAAGCTCTAAGTCAATGCACCAACGTAACATTTTTTGTATTGTACCTGTTTGCTCAGAAAGAGGCAATCAAAAGCTCAGGCTGAGACAGATGTCTTAGAAGTTGTTTCAGCAGTGCTGCTTTGGGGTGTCCCACGGTAAACTTTTGCTAAAGGACTTGTTTGGATCCTTCTCTACAGCAGTCACAAATTTAAATTTTTTTCAATGCAAAACACAACTCTCTAAATTCATACCTAAAGGCTTTAAGACTTTGGTTTGTTTTTAAGCTATGCTAATAAAAAATAGCGGGTTTTTTCGTTGTTTGTTTGGGTTTGTTTTTGTTTTTTTTTTTCTTTTTTAAAGAACCAGTCAATTAAAAAATTACAACATTGTGAACTTCTCCAAAGTTTGATAACGCACTTTTCAAATAGTAACAGATGAACTTCTAAACACATGACACTTCTCAGGAGACTCTGATTTTATCTGGTGATGACACAGAATATGCCCAGCAAGAAAAAGAAGTTACTATGTATTTGGTTTTCCTTGTAAACGGCAGTGTCAAGGGCATGAAATTAACATTTACTTTCTTGCAATTGAAACAATTTCACTACTCATCAGTATATGGGCTATCCTCCTGCAGCTGATACCTATTCCAGAACAGAGTGCCTTCCTACTGCTTAGTTTGCTTTCAAATACGGATTAACTGGAACAGCTATTTCCCACTCTTTACAGACAGAGACATTTCAGGAAAGACTGCTATACCCTGGATTCCCACCACACCTCAATCAAGCTTAACATTGAAATACAGGTAAGCCCTGCAGTGTTACTTTAACTTGGTGTATTAAAATTTCAGGCAAATATAATTCTTCATTTAACAGTGCTCCTTAAAGTATGTAAACTCTAAGGACCTTTTCAAGTTAAGAATCTGTGAACAACAACTGCTGTCAGTTAGAACACTGTAGTCCACTTCTAGCAACTGAATGTGATGGATTTTGACTGCCTCAAACATGCAAGTCTTTCAAAGCCGAGGTTTCGGGTTTTTTTTCTTTTTGGTGAGAGATTATATAAGAACTTTCAGTATCTGTCAAATAGCAGTCACCAATAGTACAGCAAAATTATTTCTAGGAAAAAATGGAATACACAGAACAATCTGCTGATACTCACTTGAAAGGCAGTCGTCAATGTTACTGTCACAGTCTCCTCCAGTGAAGCCTGGCCGACATTCACACAGGTAACTGCCTTGAATATTGTGGCACAGAGCATGATTTTTGCAGGGCTTTGAGAGACATTCATCAATATCCACTGTACATCTCTCCCCTGAAACATGGAGAGTCCAGAAGTAAGACCCCTCATAAGGCAATGGTCAAAAGGCTCAATGCCAATACTGCTCAGCGTTGAAAGTACAGTATGTTCCCCATTCACATTACCTTCCCAGCCAGGGGCACATTGGCAGGTGTAGCCTTCAGCGTCAGGAGATTCTTGGCAAATTCCTGAGTTCTCACAAGGATCAGGGGAACAAGGAGCAACCACTACCTGGCAGTTCACACCTGGAGAGCAGAAGGGGAAAAACCAGGACAGTATGCTGCTAAGAGCTTGGTGCTTCTTGCAAGAATGAATAAAGAGATTGCAGCTTGCATGATTATCCTACACAGCAGTGGACAGCATTTCTATATTTGAAAAATCTCAGCAGAAGGCAAGGGAGATCAGAGCACTCCTCATGGGCTCAGTGGGTACAAGCATACAGCAGCTATGGTAATTCTGAGTTTAACGCCCCTTCAATTCCCAGTGCACTTACATATCTGAGTCTAACTTTCTCACAAAGAAAATTAAGCCGAGCTGCCACCAGGACATTTCTTAATGAGTCCAAACAAGGCTCAGATATGGTCTTACTAAGTATTCTACTACTGTATCATGTCTACATGAACTGACTGTAATTTAACTTCATACAACCATGGCATTTCCCCTCTTGATTCCTATTTCCATGAAGTTTAATGAAAAGATTAAAATGGCACTAAGGGTGCAATGACCTGGAAAGGAAAAAGAGAACAGAAACTTCTCCCTGAATTTTCACCTTTGAATCCTTTCCTACAGGTACATCTATATCCATTCAACAGATCTTCACAAGTTCCTCCGTTCTGGCATGGGTTTGATTTACATTCGTTCCCTTCTGTTGAACAGTAATCTCCTATCCAGCCTGGGTCGCAGACACACTTGTACCTTTAAAGGCAAAAACAGCAGTAATTTTAGAGCATTCCGAAATAACTCCCCTAGCAGTTTCTCCTGCAGATTAGTTTTGGAGACAAAACCAGAAGACCTCTCTTTAGGAGAGCCCTAAGTTACGTTTAGATTGCTTACCCCAGCTGTATAGGTTTGAAAATACTGAAAATAAACCCTCCCTTAAAACCACACTTCCCTCCGTTACAGTTTTCACAAAGCGCTCAGTCAACCAGCAATATGTTTCTGCTTTGATAAGACCATCTCAACACATTTAAACAAAGGCAGAAAAAAAAGATTAAAAAAGTGGAGGGGAACAATAGGCTCCAAAGATAACTAGACTGATTTAATACAAAGTAGTGGTTACAAATGAAAACAGCTGGCTGGGAGCAGGAGCAATCTTCTCCATCACGTTTCAAAATCTGAAGTAGAGCAGCACTCCACCCATATGACGTAGAACCAAGGACTTGGTGAATCACCCTGGACTCAGGCCACACAACACACACACCAGCCTCCCTCCTGTCATGCAAACAAGAATTATTTTATCTGGCACTGAGCGTAAGGTGTACATAGGCATAAATATGAATGCAGGTGACAGATGATAGACAAGATGAACCAAAAAATTTGTTTTCCAAGCTTACACGGAGGCTGAATTAGCAATAAAGGCAGCCTTCCTGCCAGCTCCAGGGAAAGTGCTGAATCCTGCCCTACAGAGCTACCCGCAGTGGTAAATCACTTCCTTGCCCAAGTGCTGACAACACTTTCCAGGACGCAGCACACATCTGGGAGTCACTGCTATTCCACATACAGTTGGGAAGTTTCACAAACACAAGCCCTACCTCCCCAAACCTGTTGACTCCACAGACCCTGTGCTCCCAGACTCACCATTAACAAAAAGAGATCTGATTCAGGGCTCCTGAAATCAGCATTTGGTCTTCCTGGATGGGAAGATTCAGAAGCAACTACTGCCATCAAAATAGCCAGAAAGAGCTTTCCTTGTTTTTTAATTGCAGGCATGCAACAGTGTGACTAAAGCTTACAAAATCTCAGCCTTGGATAAACTGTCTAAGCCAAATACTGCTCTATCTCCTAGTGTCAAAAGTTGTCTGCCTGTTCCTTAATACAGAGTATTTGGGTAGCAAGAACAGCACTAGCCAACAAAGATAGTCTCCATGCTCAACGTTTTAGAGTTTGATGGAATAGGTAGCTGCTGCTCCCCAAAGATTCAATTTGGAACCATTTCTTTATTTTAATTGCATTCACTCTACTCACTCGAATTGCCAAACCCACCCTTTAGATGGTGGCAGTCCACCCTGCGCTACATGCCCTTGCAAAGACAGCCCTTGCAAAGACAGCAAAGAATACAATGCAGGACAGAAAAACCTATGTTGAAACAGCACAGCCTGCAGCTGGTGACTAAAGGTCTACATCTTACTGTGATTATGTCATGGGCAGCAGGTAAATCTGGATTCTAATCTGAGAAATTAGAGAAAAATCAGAAACCTCAAGTCAAGATGGAACTCCGGGCAAAGCGAAAAAAAAAAGTATAGAAGGCAGCAGATAAGTTTGATGTGACAATAAGTACTTACCCACTAGTAATATGTGTGCAGTTGCCATGTACACAGGGATTACTAAGACAGCCATCTGCCTGTGACTGACAGTGAGGATGATGGTAACCTTCAGGACATACACACCGAAAGCCATTGACTTCATTTATACATGTCCCACCATTATGACAGGGGCTGGATGTGCATTCATCAATGTCTACATTACAACGCGGGCCTAGAAAAATAACAATACTTATTAAGTAGTATTTCTTATAAGAACATTTCCTTTGCATGTCTGCGAGAACATACATTGAAAGACAACTCAGTAAAGCCAATGCAGCGGGACAGATCTTGCATGCCTCCGTGCTTTAACTGAAGTCAAGAGAAGCATTTTTGGAAGATGCAGCACTTTTCTGTGCCTGGAAAACAGCACTTACACTCAACAAGTGTTTACAAACCATTCAAGAATCTCAACACAATTCCACTAAAAATCACCAGTTAATATTCATTAGGAAGACAAAAATCACTCAACTGTATCATGCTCGGAACAAACCTCTTGAGCTCCACTTGTCATAGTCCTGCTCTTCTGCTTTGAAAGCACCTACCCTTTGAACAACCAATACTGCCATAGTGTCTGCAGTATATATAGTTCTTGTGGTTTATTGCGCAAAAGGGACTCAAAAAAACACCGTTTCCTGTTTTGCCTGCCTCTGATTATGACTGCAAGATCCTTGAAGTAGTGACCATAAGATCTTGTGAGGCTGGAAAGCTAAACAAAGTGAATGTTGCAGTAAGCTGAAAGCATTTTTAACATAAGGAAAGGACAAAGTAACAAGACCCCATGCAAGCCAGCTCTTTAAACACTGGAATAGGGCAATTCATCATATTACTGAATTATTTTAACAGTGTAACAGTAAGAAGTCCAGTAGGATAACAAATACGGTATGCCAGCAACAAATAAGACTGAAAGGCAAGAGTGACCAGGATCATGCCTCTTCCTGTTCTGAGGACTAAAGAGTACCACCATGCCAGAGCCAACGGAAAGAAGGAGCGTCAGAAGCTTAGAAAGACGCCAAGAGAAAAGCACCAAACACATGAAACCTCTTAGTGCTATTTTGAATGCATTTCAGATCAATTCTAATTAGAATCATTCAGTAACAAACAGTAACAAACGTGATGAGAAAACTGTTATAAACAGTACCAACTGCCTTACAACAATTATTTTACAAGCATATTACCCTACATGGCTCAAAACATATTAAGTCCATTATAAACAGTGTTGAGATGTGCTTTAGTCATCAGAAATAGTCCTGATGTAGATCTACAGTTCTAAGCATGGAACCAAAAGTGCCTAAAAGCTTCTTTTTTCAGCCCCACTTTTACTGTATTAGGTAAGTCTTTATAATTTAAAAAGGAAACAGAATGGACCACACTATGAAACAGAAGTACTGAAAAAAGCAGGTTGGAGACTTCAGAGTGGAGAGCAGCTCATGACAACACTGAGTTAGTGCTTTGCTTTCACAGAAAGAGAAATACTGTTCATGGTCAAAGCCCAAGGTACTATTTAATCAAACACCTCTCTATATTGTCCATAATCTCTCTGTCCCTGGAAAGAAGCTGTAAATAATAAACTGAAGTCACATGGGTTTATTTGTTATAAAACCAAGAACCATGAATTGGACGTCATTACCTAACAAGAATGGCATTTCACAGCACAGATTTGGCCATTTTTCTGCTTGGTAGAACTTGCTGTAATGTAAGATGCTGAGATTCAAAGATTAGAAGGATTTACCGAGATACTAACTGAATCCCTTGCAGTCAGTATGCAAAGAACAGCTTCCTTAGCTACCTGGATAACTATCTTCAAAACAACTCAAAGCTATCGGGTAGCTGACTTTACCTGTAAATCCAGGTTTGCAAGCACAATTGTAGCGATTAATACCATCAATACAGTCCCCGTGAATGCATGGGTTACTTGCACAGTCATCAAAGTTATTTTCACAGTTCACTCCTGGAAAAAAAGTTAGATGAATAAGGAGGCCAAATCTTACAAGGAAGACAACAAAACTATTTCCCAGAAATAGCCAAACTAAGAATCCCACCTGCTTCAAAGTTACACGTGCATTGGTGCAACTCAAAACAGATGATGACGCTGAAACACTGCGACAACAGGAAACGTCACCTAAGTCACTGGGTGCTGACTGAATATGACCTTAAACTTGTACTAAATGTTTAAAGAATAAACTGTTTGAACACCATACCTAATTTTTGTACTGCATGCCTGAATTTTGGGAGTAAAGAGGAGGTGAATTCTTCCAAGACGAGTTGCAGTACCAGAAAGGGTTAGGCAATCCACACAAACACACCAAAATTCAGCAAGGAAAAGCAATGTGAAAATGATACTCTCACACTATAAGCTTATCTCTGTATACAAATTTAGCACACACCAGAGCACACATAAGAAATAATTAAATGCTTGAATTCTGTTAGAACTCAATCCTTCCACTTGTACCTGAAGTGCCCAGCAAACAGTTGCATTGGTAGCCGTTCACCAAATCAATGCAGCGCCCTTGATGGAGGCAAGGATTGCTGTGGCATTCATCTATCTGCTCACTGCATATGGCACCCATGTAGCCAGGATTGCATATACATGTGTATGAATCAATTCCATCTTGACATTCCCCATGGTGGCAAGGATCAGGATCACAGTTGTTGATATTCTCCTCACACAAAAGGCCAGTAAAACCTAAGGAAAAATGATGAACAGGAATAATTAAGAAGTTAAGTGGTATGATGCTGCAGTGAACATAATGCAAATATAGAAAGAATCAGCAAAGTGGCAGACAGCACAAAACGTAACCGGGCATCTCAACTGCTGCACATTTTCCAGCCCTGGAAAACAACTCTCTTCCACTGCTCACAGCATTACAGAACAACATCTTGCATGGAGAATCCTGGCATTGGAAGTGGTTACCTTCAGTTTATTCAGAACAGTAGCAATGAGAGGAAACATTTAAATCTCCATGAGAAATATTTACTCGCATCAGTATAAACTATCTGATGGCACTCTCCTGTCATTATTTCCTCTACACAATACCAGGGGGGTTTGATTTTTTTAGTATGAGAAATTACAAAGATGCTGCAGAAACCTTCCCAAGGGAACTCCCTTGGCTCATGTCAAAGCTTCTGCAGCTCTGCTTATTAAAAAGTTTCTTGCCCGTCTCATTGGGAAACCTTTCAGTAACTCCAGTCAAGCACCAACAGCCAATTTATGAAAGACTGCATGCAACCTCTTCAGTCAGGAGCAATGAAACAAGCAGCAACTTGGCCTGTTTCATTCTGCTTCAGCTGGGAAACATCCTGAGCAACAGAGAAGGACAGAATTCACCAGAAGGGCTAAAACAATGGTTCAGGAAGCTCAGAGCAGGAATCAATTCCCTCAAGAGCCCTTTTTCCATGATGGAGCAGAGCTACATGAAACAGGGACCATTTAAAATAAATGGTCTTCAGAGATAAGATTTCGGAGCAACAGCTCATACTGCCTTCCAGCAGCTGGAGATTAGGAAGGTAGAACTTCAAATTTCAAACACGAACTGGAGACAGATACAAACCAAGCTGCAGGGAATTTCAACAGCTGAAGAGTGATTCTCACCTGAGTATTATAAGTGGATAACAGGCTCCCCATTTTTCATACAGGTTTGTGGTTATTTCTCTGGTCAAACATACCAGGTGACGGCTAACATTTCCAAGTTCTGCGAACGTATGCATGGATGAATGGGTGTGGAAGTAGGTGGGGAGAGGGAAGGGAAGCTAGTTAGAGAGATGGATATAAAAAGATGTTAGGGAAGGAAGAAAAACAAACCGGTAAGAGGACGAACAGTGGCAAAAAAAAAAAAAGAGGACGGAGGCAAAGAAAAGAAGAAAGACCTAAGACAACTCAAGAAAAGAAAAGCCATGATCTACCACTGGGAAGGAGAAGTGGAATAATGCCAGAAGGGAAAGAAAAGACAAAAAGCAAGCAGTAAATAGAGCTATCTGTACACCATTTGGCCAAATATTTTGCAGTTTTCAATCACTTCGGCAGCTGGCGATTACCATTCAGGGAACACATATCACTCATAATATGAGATTAACAGAGCAAGAACATACTCAAACATTATTTTCCAGTAACTGACCTGCCCCAATGATGAACTCCACATTTCAGTCTTACAGAAGGCTGTCAATATTAAATATAATACTTAGCATACATTCGTTCAAGAAATTATTACCTTGTCTCCTATTTATAGCTCTCCTGGACCAGTTAAAGATCAGATATATTTCTCGATCTCTTAACTGAACATACCTTACTGAGATACAATTTTCCTCTTTGCAGAGAAGAGTTAGACTAAAAAAGCCCACTTGAATATAGAACATAATAATCACTCAGGATGGAAAAAAGCTCTAGTACAGAGTCCTTCTTCCATTTTCAGCGAAAGTACTAACCAAGGATTTTACTAAGAGCTGCTGCTTCAGTAACATACATTTGGTTGCTTTCAGCCTGTTCCTTGAAAATGCTCCATACATCATGTGCCTTCATGGAAGCAGTAGTCTTCCCTCCTCGTCTGGGAAGCTTAGGATTTCTGTACTGAGGTGGTTCCAGGAGTTTAGTGCCCAAATTCAGAACATGCTTTTCAAGGCGCAGCTCTCCACATTGTCCTCCACTACATGACCCAAAACCCTTCTAGGCCAAATAAGCTCTGCACTCTTGGTGTACGAAAGCAACCAGACCACACACCAGCTTGACAGAGACTTTCTAAGATAGTTTTCAAGTTTGGAAAAGATTTGAGCTTTTTCTTCTTTTTGCAAGTGTTAGCTTATTTTGTCACAGACAGTAATCAAAAGGAGAATTCTGACACCAATAATTATTCCTCTCCTGATTAGAACTACTGCATTCTGCTACTTCCAACAAATTCATTGTTTCTTCAGGCACTTTGGGGAAAAGGGAGAGGGCGTGTGTGAAAAGACTGGGGAGGAGTTTTTAGGCTAATCTCTGCTATGTTCTGTACAGTGCAGAGTAAATTAGCAACATCAAATGTGCCTTAACAATTTGATTATTGGAATGGTTCAAAATTGCACATAAATCTAGCCAACCTAACAGCACATTTCTGGGACAAAGGTAGCTCCAGGAATCGTTCAACCTCTTCCCTAGTGGAAGAGCTAAAGCCAATGCATTTCACACCTGAATCTGCATCACAAGCAATACATCAGGCACCATTAACTGAAAGCAACCAAGTCATTCCTTACTGAGAATTAGAGTGTAACAGCTCTGAACTGCCCATACCGTCTTATTTGACCAGATGTAAAAAATAGGATAGAATAGATCTACATCACTCCTAGAGGTCTGAAGATAAGAAAATCCCATAATTAAACTTCTAAATGAGTAATTAACCAAGCAGTAAAGGAATTCAGTGCATTCAAAAAAACCATCTGAGTTCCATCCACAGCTCTGTCAAAATTTCTGTATGAAATTCTGTATTTCTGTACAAATCATTTTAACTACATTCTGGCAGGCAGCTACTGTGTGCTTTTTTTTTTTGCAACAGACACAATTTTTACTGCATTTCAATCTTCCACTTTCGACATAAAATAGCCTGACGCAACAGAAATTAGAATACAGAGTAGTACTGCTCTGTCCATCTCTTGTTCTTCAACTGTATACTATATAATCCGACTTGGAAGAAAGAAAGGTAAGCCACAGATAGAAGGCTTCACACTGCTGTTTTTCCACTCGCGGATTCCATAGTCAATACAGAAGAAGCTGTCACCTTCTGGGAAGTAAGAGATGGGGCTGAAAGAGGGAGGTCAGAACTCCCATCAGTTGTGAACTTCCTGCTGTCACAAGTGAAAGGCTTTCTGTACTTAAATGCTATTCTATGCCGCAAAGGAGTAGACAAAGCTTCGCAACAAACAAGCAGTATTTCAGAGAAAGAAAGGACGCTGACACTTCTTTGACCACTCCTTTATGTATTTAGGTTACACACAATCTCCAATCCAGGAGCTCTGAACACAAGACTAACCTGTGGCGCACTGGCACTCATAGCCATTGGGATGGTCAATACATTTGGCTCCGTTGAGACATGGCGTGCTGGAGCAGTCATCTATATCAATCTGACACACGGCACCACTGAATCCTGAAAGGCAGAAAAAAAGATGAAAATCCAGAAGTAATTTGAAGTAGTTAATCTAAACAGCTGCGCTGTCAAGCAAATCCTTAAAACCACCCAAATATAAGCTCAGTAAATCTAAACTCAATTGCATCATTAAGCACACACACCACACCCTGGGTGGATTGGTTCCTTGTCCAAACCACCAGCCAAAACATAGTTTCTATCTTCCAGGTCAAAGGAGCCTCAGCTTGAAAACTGAGATGGCCAAGTCAAACAGAAGTAAAGCAGATGGAGCACGAGTGGCATCCACCACTGGACAGCATGCCTGTCTATAAAACAGAGAGGCCACCAATAAAAACTTTCAAGTAATCAAAGCAAGTAACTTAAAATGAAACAATAATGCATACATCACTAGAGCCTTCAGACTAGAATTACTACAGCAGTGTGGAATGTGGCACAATACAGCACTGTATCTTTCAATACACTTGTTGAAATAGTTAACGAACTATCAATAGGTTATGTCACATGATGCAGATCCTTAGGCACTTCAAGGAAAAAAAAAAAACCTCCAGGAATGTTTCTTGGAGGAAGGAACCAAAGGAGGAGCCAGAACATCGTTACTCAATAAGAAGAGATGCAGAGCAGGCTTTTGTCAAGTATATTCTGATCTCAAAACTTTTTGTCAGCCATCAGGAAGTCAAGCGATGTTTACCCTAGAGCTAACATTGATCTCTCAGCTCTGCATTTGTCCTTCTTTTCTAGAGGAGACCCAATCCACCTCCCTCTTCATGCAAGCAACATAAGCTATACTGATGCAAAAGTGGCTTCTGCCTAAAAACCTCAGAAAAAGACAAAAAGCATGCAGCGGCTGTGTACTTAGAATTACTCATCTATATCCCACTATGATATCCACAATAACAGAAGTTCTTGCTGCCAACTATTCTTTAAGGTGAGATGTCCAACTGTATGTTTCTCAGCACTTATATCCAGTTATAGGCACAATCCTACTGCAACCAATACATGCCTATTCTTATTTACCAGCGATTGCAACTCACTCATTCCAACAGATGCTGCACTCAGACAACAGAAACTCACAATAAATACACTGCCCGCAATCTCTCACCAGTTATCTATGCAGTTCTTGGTAAGGTGAAGCAGAAAAAGCTTACCAGGAGGACAGACACAGAGGAAGCGGTTGACTTTATCAAGACACTCTCCGTTGTTCACACAGGGATTACTTAGACACTCATCAATATCTTCTTCACAGTGAACACCTTTAAAACCTGTTTACAAAAAAAAAAAAAAAGAAGTAAGAAGAGGTGACTGAAGGCCTCAGAAAGTGCCCTTAAGAGTATAACTACCTCTTATACCAGCGCTGAAAGTCTAAGCCTAGTTTCATTGCAAGTTTTCAGTTTGGACAGAATGTACGAGGTAAGAATATACACCAGAAGTTGAAAACGGATGTTGAATGTGTATGTTTCACAGTTGCTGAACATGCTCCCTTAATCAGCAGTAACCGGACAAGTTTGTGCTGAATTCACATCTAATGTTTTCTTTCACTTGATGAGAAGGGGTTATGTTTTAACACTTGGGAGGATATTTGGGTATGCACCAACAGAAGGTAAAAGGTAAAGAAACAAACGCAGCAGATAGCTAAAAAGTCTTGAGCTAAAATTAATGACAGAGTAAAAGAAAAACATTAAGGGTGAAATAGTTGGAACCAGAGTTCCAACTTTCAAAACAGATTAGATATTAATAGAAACTCATTCTAATTTTCATGGTATCAGCTGATCACCTGCAGGGGTCACAATTCTTTCATTATACTTTATAAGACACTGCAACTGGCAACTTACACCCTTTTCTTTTTTTACCACTTTCTATCAGAAAGCAAAATAGCAGACTACATAGGTCACTGGTATGCTGGACATGTAAATTTTACAAGCACGATTTCAATCAATTAATTTTTTTATAGTTATTTCCTCAGGTTAACAGGAGCTTGCACCATTTGGGATATTTTAAACAGAGAAAAAACCCAAACACTATTATCCAGAATCGTCATATATATATCTCAAAACACACTCTTAAAATCTGCATCTGCTTTGCTTTCACAAAGTTTCTGCACATGCACTTTACCGGGTATAGTAACAAATTTCACATATACTCCAGCTCAGAACACTAACTTCCTTTGATGATGTAGAGATTGGTTTCTTTCTCAGTGCTTTAATTGCTTTCTCCCTCCCCCACACAAATGCCAAGTCCTCCTGGCTGGTGCCGCCACAGCAAGCTCTCTCTCACCGTTTCATTTAGCCTCACCCCTTTGCAATTTTGTGTTCCACCTCAGCAGAGCTGGCAACCTTCCCTGTGCTCTGCCTTCTGAATTTTTCCTTTGCTGGAAGCCCCGTCTTTGTCAGAAACTCCCCTCACCTGGCATACAGAGACATGTGAATCCTCCGATTTTATCCAGGCAGGTGGCATCATTTTGGCATGGATTTGAATGGCATTCATTGATGTCCATTTCACAGCGAGGTCCTGTGTAGCCCTTCAAACACTCACAGTGGAAAGAGCCTTCTGTGTTTACGCATTTCCCAGCATGTTCACACGGATTGCTGTTTGCTGCAAGAAAAATATATACGTGTGTGTCAAAACCTCTCCTCGGAGCAGGAAAGCCACAGCATTCTTTATTAGTCATGGTCTTTTCCAGTGGTCATTCCTTTCTGGCAAGTAATACTGGGGAAAGACTGTTCATCCTTCTGGGGAAAGGCTACTGTGATTGAAGAAAACATGTGGCAGTTACTTGCCTGTTTGAGGCAAAAAGAAAGATTGCCGTCATTACCAATGGACCAAAGGAGCAACTCTGGTCCGTATTACTAATGACAGTTCTTAAGGGGACAGCGTCAGCTAGCAGGGATTACAGAATTAATGGTGCTTTCAAGGCCCTATCTTTAGATCATCTTTTACATTTACTTCACTCCTGAGGCTGACAAGATGCTGCCACAGCCACAAAACAACCAAACTAGTCCTTCATGTGCTTTCAAAAAGGAACAGCACTCTTGTCCAAGGCAGACTGAGGAATGAAATTCAAAGAAGAGCTTCTTTCCCATACTTCCATGAGTGCTGGTTAGGTATTACCTTCATGCATCACACTAGAAACATAAACTAGCATTCACAAAATTATAAGCAAGTCTGTGAGAGTCCAGCTAATCCCCAAAAGAACACAAGGATGATATCAGAGAACTACAGCTTTAAAAGTCCACCGGTCTTGGAAGGCACTCAAAAGATCCAGCCATATTCTGGCAGTCAAACACCCTTGGTATATTTCTACCAAGGCAAGAGCTGCAACAACTCCCCAACAAACTGCGGTACTTTCATTGTACGCTGCAGTTCTAAGGGTCAGCTTAATTATCGCATCTGCACTCCTCGCACAATGCTAAAGCCCTCTTGCACAATGAAGAATGGTTAAGCATCTCGCTGCTTTTCATATTCCAGAGGCTAACAGTTCAAACATGGACAGCTATCTGACTCAGCGCTTTGCCCCAAGTCTCACACAAGATTTAAAACTCCTCTAAAGACGCTGAAATGGAAGGGGGAGAGCAGGAAAGGAGTCGCACTTATGTTGAGAAGCTATGACAAAATGTGTATTCTTGCCCTTCTGTTAGTTCATAAAGCAAACCACCCAACTCCCTGTTCGTGTACGCACAAATACCAAATAGAAACTCACCCATTGCACATTCGTCCACATCCTCAGTGCAGTCTGCTCCCTTATGGCCTTGAGGACAGGTGCAGATATAGTGTCCGTTCACAGGATTGGTATCACACAGAGCACCCTTCTGGCATGGATTGCTAACACATGCATCATCCAAGTGGCACAGAAGACCTAGAGAAGCATCCAAGAGTTTATTCAGAAAAGTGAGATATAGCAGTCAGACTGTATGTTACACAATCAAATCCTCTGTCCTGATATTTCAAATAGAGACTTCCACCGTCAGAAGTTTGAGCAGCATCTTATAGGCTTCAACCTATAGACTACCACAGGAATTTCACCACACACATTTAAAACATTATATTTAAATACAGATTCTGTGACGTCAGAGGTATCTCCAGCACTTCTGGAGTAGTACAATGGCTTACCATTACCAAAATCTCCTCCTTGAAGCAGTTAACTAACTCTTCTCTCTAACCAGCATGACAATATTTCTGACAGCTGAAAACACAGGTGCACATGAAGCTCACTTTCTTAATTCAGATATGCTGACCAGTTGTCTTCCCAGGTAGTAGTTAGGAGACCTTCATATATTTTCCTACCATACAACAGCAAATTTTCCACTATACCAGGGCATCCTCACTCACGCAAAAATATCTAAATCTGCATTCTAGACTTTTAAGTACAATTATCATAAGTGGCACAAAGCAAGTCACCCTCATGCATAACTTCTCAGGCAAATAACAGGTCCTGCTAAGCGCTAGAAAAAGATCTGCTTTCCTTGCAATCTAAACTGTAGTAAGTTTGTCTTCCAGCCTAATACAAATACTTCTTTGTCCCAAGCTACAGAGGTTTAAAAGGTCTTTGCTCATGGACACACTTTTCCTTTTGTTCTTCCTGGTTTGGTCAAAAGTGAAATAAACACACCACCTCAAGCAAATGCATAAACTTCAGACTTATGCAAGTTTTCTGCCCTTACCTGCCTTTCCTTCTGGACAAATGCACGAAAAAGAAGCCACTCGATCAATGCAAGTAGATCCATTAGCACAGGAGGCAGTGAAGCAATCATCAATGTTCTTACTGCAGTCGTCCCCACTCCAACCATTGACACAGACACAGGCATAGCCTCCATTGTGGTTGGTGCAGGTACCCCCATTCTGACAAGCGTTGGGCTGGAGCTGACATTCATCAACGTCTTCAGTGCAAAACTGGCCTGATGCACAGAAAGAAACAAGTTTAATAAAAGTTCAGACACAAGAAGATTCTTGAACAGATAACATAACCAAAGGAAACACTGTAGTCCAACTTGATTGCCGCTTCTTATTTCTAGGACATTTGAGCCTGAGAACTTCCAACAACACTGTCGTCAAACTAGGCAAAGACAACTAGCATCTCTAAATGACCCCAAAGTAGGAGCTGAACTGCAAATAACTTTAAAAAGGCACCGTGTGAGAGCCAGCAGGCAGCCTGCAGTATATGAAGATACATCTGCGAGGATGTGAGAAGCAGAAAGAATGAAGGTCTGCCTGCAGAGCAGCCAGAGGGACTAAGAAGAGAGAAGATGGCCTCATAAGAAAATCTTGGCCAAAGCAGTGTCAACAGGCCAGCAGCAAAGTAACTCTAGTCAGGAGAACATAATTCTTTCCTATATAATTATGCAATGAGTATTACTTGATGAGGAAGAACAGAATTCTTGAGACTCTTCTACCTAAAATACTCATCTTCCTTCTCCCAGGTATTTCCACAGACAACCACAAATAGTTGGGGGTTTTTTGTTTTGTTTTTAGAGACAAAATAAATACTCTAATAAAACCCTTTAATGACTGGAGATATTGGAGGGAAGAAAACAAATGTGCACTGTTTCAGGGAGTTTTAAGGAAAAGGACCACTGGACCACTAAGTATGAAATCAGTTTCAACGGATACTGAATTTCACAGTCACATCTATAGGAAGCTCTACAACTTACATTACTGAAGTATTTATTTATCCAAATCCATCTTGCTTTGACATCAAGATCCAAAGAACCTACCACTTGCATCAATATTTTGTTTCAACTCTTATTCATCTTCCCGATTAAAGTTGCATGGTATACTTTTAAGCTGAAATTGTTTAGCTTAAGTTTCAAGTCATTCGCTCTTATTTTGAGTTTCTTGAACAGATAAAACCTAATGGCTAAGCAACAGCTAATTTCCTCCCAGGCTGGCATATGGGTGCACATGTCCAACCATGGAATACTGGTCACAGTCCACAATCTTCTTTTTCATAAACTATTTCTCCCCTTTCTGTTAAGAACTCTCTAGCGCTGAAAGCTTGCCTTTTTTTTTGTTTTAACACTTCCTTATAACTTGTTTTTACCACCCTTCCGAAAATGTTGATACATAGCACCGAAAGACCGCCCTTTATCAGAGAATAAGATTAGATTTGTTTGATGTGACCTTTTTTGCCCCCCTTCCAGCTCACAACATCACCTCCCTCACTAGCTTGCAGCAGCTTTCCATTATTTGGGTCAAGACTCTTAAGTGCAATGACTGCATTGCTACCACCAAGATCCTCCCATTTGTCACCTCCAGCTACTGTATCCGCTAGCTGCACACTTACATTTGTCTGGAATTCCCCCTGTATTCCAAGAATAAGAAATTCAAGAGCAGGCCACAGATCTTCCCTGCCAATTTGCCTGGGCTCCAGTTTATTCAGGTTTGCCAATTTAAAAATACTTATTAGATGTTGCTTAACAGTCACCTTGTTTATTAATGGCCCAGAAATTATGATGCAAGTGCACACACACCCTCCTCCAACACACAGAACTGAAACATTTATTGTTGGCAAGAATGTAAAAATGTTCAGTCTTACCCATCTCCATCTACTATACCCAAACCGTTATTCCTTTTGTTTTCAAATTACTTAAACAGATCTTAGTCTTTGGTCCTGTGAGCTCTGGATTTTTCTCCCTTAGTGGCAAAGAAATAAAATTATTAAAAAAAAAAAAAGTTGCACAACTGACTTTTTTTCTGTGCATGTGTTCCTTCCTCCAGCAGGACTACTTCAAAACAAGGATTTTATCATTTGAAAAAACATAATAAAATTTTAACAGTAATAATAATTACAACAGAGTTTTCAGAATTAATCCTCACTTCCCAGTTTACTTAGTAAAACAGTTGGGGGGAAATCTAACACTTCATATTGGTATCTGCAAAACATAGCTCTCTACATTATGAAAAAACAAAACCATGCATTTATCATAATAGAAGTAGTTTGTTCATTAGCTTTCGATAATAGCTTATCAGTAACCAAACTGAAAAGAGTCAGTTTTCTCACACTGGTTCCTAGTAGTCGTGCGTATCTCGCAACTCAACACAACTGACTTCCTTTTTAAAACAATAATCAAGACATTATTTACTTATTATAAAAGTGATTTTCCTTCTTTTCTTGGAGGGGGCCCAACCCAGATCAAAGAACGTACTCTCTGACGAACACTCAACCGTAGCGTAATCGTTTTGCAGAAGAGTCCTTGCAGCATTTACATCCTCCTTTTGACTGCAGCCAATTTAAACCTGGTATCACTAAAGCGTGAACAGGTTTCAGCACTGAAGTTGCCACCACTTGGGATTGTTATGCCTCTCTCAAAATCACTTTGCTTTGCGATTGGCTGAGTGGAAGTCCTGAAATACGACATTTTGTGGGGTTTTTTTGGTGGATTGGGGGGGGTGTGCACACATGTCCGTGGTTTGTTTTGTTGTTGTTTTTTTTTTTGTTTGGTTTGGTTTTGGGTTTGTTTTTTTTTTTTTTTTTAAGCACAGATGAGCAAACTACTCCCTCATATAAACTCTCTGGGTTTGTTTTTAACTTTCCATTTCAAGCATCACTAGTAATATCAACTCTTAGGATTTTTTAATTATTTTTTTTCCTAGCACTTATTCTCCACTTCTAGAAAGGACAGTACCAAGCGACATCACTGATGTCCTTGCAATAACACTGTGTCCTAGGCTATTCCATATTTCCACAGCCCTAAACTAAAACAAACTTTTAAAAAGTATATCAATGTCCCCACAAGAGGAGAACAAAGCATAGCTTACACTTCTTTGAGCAATTAAACTGTATTTCAAGAACATACCATGTTTGAGCTCCTTAAATTTGATCTTCACTTAGCTTCACAGATTTCTAATGCTCCTTTTGCAGCTACCAGATCACAATCATATTTGTGTTTAATTATGAATATGAATCTTTAATTATGAATATGAATCGAACAGAGCTCCATCTTAATGTAGTTTGTTTTAAAAACAAACAAAGGAAATCCAACTCAATATATGAGGGTCATAAATAAGCAATTAACTATTGCATTTTACTATTGAGTTTTTTAATGAAAAAAACTTGTTCTTTATTGAAGTTATAATTGAAATCCAGACTCAACTTCTGGGCAAAAAATACACGAATCAAAAGCAACATAAGGCAAGCAGAGTATATCAATTTAACTACATTAATAAGTACTCAGTCTCACCACCATCAGGCTATGTAAGTGTAATAGTGTTTGAAAGATTTTGGAACTATGTTTTAAAATATTACAAATCCCAGACTAAACTCCAAGGCGCTCACATTTCTTAACTGGAGCTGGTGAATCGGCAAGAATGCAAAAGCAATTTCAAGTTCACTGAAAATGCTTGAGCCCTTATTGCTGAGTGGGGCTGGAGTGGCTTGGAAATGCATTCTGTAGCCCAAAGTCTTCAAAAGAGAGAAATAAAGGCTTTTTAGGTGGGGTGGTTTGGTGGGGTTTGGGTTTTTTTAGATACTCTATGGTTGCTTACATGGTGGTTTTGAATCTTTATGTGTTAACAACATGGGATTAATGGTCAATATTGTAATACTTCAACACCGGTTTTTGGAAGAGTTTTTTTGTTTGGGGTTTTTTTTTGTTGCTGCTGGTTGGTTGGGGTTTTTTGTTGTTTGTTTTGTTAGGTTTTTTTCCCCAGAAACCATCACACACATTTGTAAATGGCTTTCAAGACTGCCCTCCCTCAAAGCAGCATCATCACTTAATTCTTAGTGGGACTGCAGGATGGCCACAATCTCTCATTCTCCTGAAAGGGCTGATTTGCCCTCAATAAAGACTTCAACTCCTTGTGCAAATGAGAGAAGTAGATGAATATTTTGGGCAGGTGCTGCAAAGAAAAAATTCGATACTTCTGTTGTTAACGACCTAGGTCTTCAATGTAGTGCCTGTCCTGGAAGCTTCCTGAATGACTTTTTCACAGCAGAGACAGAAGTCTCTTTCAGTGTCAGACATAAAACAGGACTTAATTCTAAAACTTCTCAACGAATATTCTGCACAAGACTTTTCTCTGCCAGGTTAGTTAGGTAGATTTAAATCAAATGAGACAAAAGATCTCTGAAACAGTTTACTTACGGGGTGCTGCTTTGACTTAATTGTAACTGAGTCAAAGTACATGTAGCCATGTACTTGGTAAGCTTGTTTTCTGCTTGTTAAGAGTTTTAGGAAGAATCAAGTCTTTCATTCACAGAACCGAAATTCAACTTCCAAGTGCAAATTCCGTTATGAATTGTACAGTGTAATACACATCTTCATAACCCTAGTGCTTCTGAATGCCACAACCACTCCAGCTAAATGTTAATTCATTCAGCTGCAAGTTTCTGTAGGTATTTCTTCTCTTGTGCTCTTGCTAGTTTCAATTACATTTCTAAAAGAAACATAGTAAATATAGCATGAACTAGAGAAGGCAAGCACAAATACACTAACTGTACAATATTTTAATGGAAATGTAGAAACATACATATAACAGACAACAAGAAAGGAAACAAATTACTCCAAGAAGCTAATAAAAGCCTAACCTGACCTTGATATTTGCAGAGCCTGGGAAATCAGCAAAATGCCGACTCAGGTTCTAAGTGACCTTGTACAAAGTAAACAGCTAGTCCATGTGGTATTTCAAAATTGAAAACTAGAAGTAGAAAAAGGGAACAGCCTTCAACTCTTAGCACTCTTTGCCCACTATGAAACTAAGTTACTTCCTGCATATTTCCCCTCAGAAAAGCCATACGGAGTAAGACAGACGTGTTTGCTGCTTTGATTGCTCCCATTTTCAGACCAGCAGGAACTGGACAGGAACTCCAGGAGCTTCTCTTTAGGCAGACACAGGATGCAGTGATTCAAGGCCCCTCAAGTAGTTGTACCAGATTTCATTGATGAGAAACAGCCAGCCC